AACTGTTACATGTAGACTTTGTTCTGATGCTCGGCTCGCTACTTCTCCCTTGACCAATGCCTGAATCACTTAGTATGTGCCGATATTCTCCTTTAATGCGCTTTCTGATTGTTAAGGGCGATATGCCCGTGCATGCTGTTATCTGATATACCGTTCCACTTGTTGCTCTTATATACCGCTGTTTTCGTGGCGCCGGAGTCACGCAGTGCAGTCCAATTTCCTTCAACAACAATCCCTGACTCGCATTTGCCGTCTCGTTCGTTGCCGTTAATGCATATTTTCGTAAACACTGCATATTAGACTACGAAACCGGCCGGTCTTATACCGCCGTGACCTTTCCGTTTATTTCGCTCTGCCAATTATTCATGTAACAAATGGTCCGACGACTGAGAAAATACCTGTCGGTTATTACAGTCGTCCTTCTATTTTGCCTTGTTTTCTTTCCTGTCCTATGCCGTGTTAACCGGTGACCGTTATTTCCGGCATCGCCGTGCCATTACCTGGCCACCCGGCAATTTCTCTTGCGCATTGCCACAGCATGGACCGGCAACATACCGGAAACGTGAGTCTGAATATTTAATAATCCGAAAAGTGATTAGAGATGGTTGTCAGGCGTCCGACAGTGCACGTGAATTATATCAGTGCATGACACTGTAGTGTCATATGTGCCGTAATACGGCCGTGTGTGCTTTACCATTGTTGAAAATGTTTGCATTTCAATAATTTCTTTCGTGAATAATCCATTACTCGTTTTAAAATTTAAATATGGTATACGAATTGTCACTTGTTCAGCGAATTAATAATCAGGTGTATATACATCAATTGTCGCAGACTTATCCTTTCCAAAACAATAATGAACTAGCGGCATTTTGCAATAATCTGTTTGTTCAATATTCGACTGTATTGTATGTCGAGTGGAAAAATCTGGATACTGAAGATACAGGGATTTTATTTAAAATGCCTATTACGGATTCTCTTGTTCAAGATATTGTTGATCGTTTGGTATCGCTCGGTGGTATGCGCAATGTGCTGCAAATTCCTGAATAGAATAAATCACTGATCTCCATATTCTTAATATTTCAATATTTGCATTTTCTAATCGTCTTTATTGCATGCGTCCTTTTTTTTCATGAAAATCATTGTGCGACATTTCTTTTCTTTCTGTTATGCATTTTAAGAAAGGTTATTCGACTATAAAGTTCTTTGTCGCCGTACATCTGATGGCGTAATCTACTGGCGCTTCTTTCGGAATGCAAATCACGCTGACGAAGAAGCTTTCGATTCTTTTTGTAATACCTTTTTCGAAAATAATCCTGAGGCATTACTAATTGATTACGTGACATTCAACCCCATCGGAAGCGGTATTAATGTTCGTGAAAAAAGTACGGATGCGTATGTACAAAAGTGTATTGCTGAGGCAACGTGCCCGTGTTGTAAGCATTCTTACGTATGAATTTCATTCTTCTATTGGAATAAATCCATATATTCTTTTATCTCATTCTTCTCAATAATCTGTTGTGAAATGCAATTCTCATATAAAACTGTTTCACGTGATCATACAGGCCGAATAATTCACAGTGTTTGGCAGACAAAACAAAGTGATGATGTTGATGAATTCGCAGATTTTTGTACTACAATTTTCAGCAATGATGCAAAAGTTTTGTTTGTCCATTGTATTAACCTTGAGTCCAGGAGAACACATTTAGTTGCGCCTCGACAAAACCTGAGTGACCTTTATGTCTTCCAGTATATAACAGAAACCGTGTGTCCTTGCTGTAACACGTTGTTGGTTAATGCGCATCGACAAAATCCGCATCGATTGTGAGATTCTCTTTCTCTTTTATGTGGTTTCATAATTCGAAAAATTATCTACAGTTCTATGAACTTCATTTCATTACTTTTGTCTTCTTTTGGTAAATAATTTTCATATCTTCCGGTTATGTTTTACAGGGCTACATTTTATTTTTGTACGTATCCATTTAAACAGCATAAATATTATGCTGCACATAGCATTCAACATGTATGTTATCAGATGAATTATATTTTTCCAAACCGTGACCCGTTCTATATAAGAATAAGAATCGTTACCTCGGGATGAATCATCCCGTCATGTTTTCCTGGTAAAGATTATTACCAAGATAGTTGGCTGTTGTTGTTGTGCGCAGCCGGATGACAGAAGTTGATAAGTCAGCTGCGCCTTGTTTTTGCCAATTCTTTATTAGGCGATCAGTCCGATAATTTCTCCTTGAACAATCGTGGTACCAAACCCATTTCCTGTTTTCCACTACTTTTTGTGTCATGGCCTCACCCGTCGTATGAAAATTGAGAGTTAATAAGATTGATTTAACCTGGATCCGAAATATAGCTCCGATTCCACGGTTGATAAATTTTGGCTCAAGCATCGAAACAAGAAGCCAGAGCCAATCCTTCCTGGGAACGTCGTCGAGTCGTCTTCGGACTCCGACCCCCATACGGTTGATCAAGCAGACCTACATAACACAGCTTTCTATGAATCACCTGATCTGAGTCTTCATTCAGCCATACCCTTTGACCAGAGAATTGAATCCCTATCGCCTTCACCCACAGGATACCTTCTCCGGTTTGCTGTGAATCAGAACTTAAGCTGGACCGAATTGAAAGGTCGTCTTTCCGTATTACGTAAACAGACCTGCAAACCTCGTAGAGCGAACAGAAAGCCAGAAAAAATCATGGCGCCAGGCGATGATGATGGTGATAATCAGGTAGCAGAAAAAGGGTTTCAGCACCGTGCCCCTAATATTCGGGACCTGCCGAAATTCACAGGGACTTTTCTTGAGGATGTCGACAATTTTATTCTTGAATATGAGTCACAGGGAACCCTTTACGGGTGGAAGTCAGGACAGTTACTTAGTTGTCTTCGAGCTTGTCTCAGGGGCGACGCCCTTCATTGGTTTGTCATTTGTCCCGATGACAACAGCTGGGATGATTTGAAGAAGGCTCTTAAGGAGACCTTCGGGAAAAATCCCATCGATTTCGACCTCGAGGGCACCAGTTTGAAAATGCTTTCAACTTATGACCCTCTCGAGTACGTCACGCGAATTTTGCGTATCGTGACGACGCGTAATCCTAACGCTTCCCCTGATGATTTAATACTACACCTGTTTCAAGGTTTGCGTGATGGCTTAAAAGCGGAAATCGTTTCCGTTTATGACGAGATCGAAGACACTACAGATTTTCTCGAGCGACTGAAGAATATATCGCGCGCCTATAAATATAGGCAACGTTTAGCCTTCCTGGAAGCTGGAGCGGAACCTTCACGTCGAGCGCCCCGAGTTGAAACCGAAACGGTGAAACGGTCGACGCAGTCCTACGGAAACTTTCCGCCCGCAACCGATACGCAGGCAAAAGCCGTACGAGTCGATGTTGCGGTGCCTGATCCCGCTGAGATGGAAGCTATTCGCGCTAGGCTTAGTCAGCTGGAAGCCGGTGGTCAACGCCACGATACCCGGCAGCGCGAGTCTCGTAAATGTCATTACTGTGGGAAGGCAGGCCATCTCAAGGGCGTTTGCTGGCAGAACCCGCAAAGTCGAAACTACCGAGGATCGACCGGTCGCGGTCGAGGCCGTGGTTCCTACGCCAACGCAGTGGCTCGCGGTACTTACGGACCGCCACCCCCACATAATGCTTATCCTGCTGTGGGTCCAGCCCAACCTGTCCCTATGATTACAGGTAGTCAGCAACCCGCTCGACCACAGCTCCCGCCAGTTTTTCCGGCAGCCGGTACAGTTGCAAATCCGACACGAGTTTTCTATCACAGTAACCTTCAGGCGGTTTCATGGGAACAGCTCCCGATGGACGACCCCGCTTCTTTAAACTAAATAGGTCTGTGCGTGGTACTGACGCACGCACAGACCATTTCATCATAAACCCACACAAAAATAGTGAAGTAGGTCCAATTATCTGTCGGGCTCGTGTGAATAATATTTCGTGTCGGGCGATACTCGATACCGGTTCGGGGATTTCGTTAATTACAGAAAGTTTCGCAAAACTTAATCGTTTTAAAATAATTGATACCGATGGTCCATACGTTTCCACAATAACATCACAACGCAAGTTAAATAAAAAAATCGATGTTCTCCTAGAAGTTTTGGGCCAAATCCAACCATGTGAGTTATTTGTTATAACACAAGCACCATTTGAGGTATTAATCGGTATCGATTACCTTACCCAAACACGGATCCAAATTGATTTTCGTTCCAAAACACTGCGTAATGATTCTGTTGTCTTGCCCTTGCTCTACTACTGTTTTCCGGGCCTTGCAAACCCGGATAATAGTCGGGATGAAGGGAATGGGAAACCGGTTTTTAATAATCCCATTTACCTTTTACACGGTCCATCCGACCCACGAGATGGTCCGAAGACAGGCAAACGAGTTGCCGTAGAAATAATAATGGAGAACCCGTCTGAGAAACCCGTGTTGCCGGGCGAGCTCAGAAAGAAGGCGAGCCCAGGTTTGGCCGCACCCAAGAACTTAGTTTCCGAGGCTGTTCTGCTGGCGGAACAGTCTCCGGGAACGGCGAGGACACTTGATGGTACAGATCCCGCAGGCCCCGAGGGGTTACAGTTGTTGGCAGCAAGTTCCTCCCAAGGTGGGCAGGAAGTAAGCAAAAATAGTATGATAAGGGCATTAGCCGATCGTGAAAAGTTTTTTAATTTTGGGTTGCTAACGCGCAACAAAACCAAACGAAGTTTGAAAGGTCCGGTCGAGGTCCCGGGGATTCCGATCCCGGAGACCCAAGAACCGGTCACCGAGGTCACTGGCATTCAGAAAGGATTCAAGTTAGAGGTCTCGGAGGTTTTGTGTCCGGAGGCCCAGGAACCTGCCACTGAGGTCGCAGGGTATCAGGAACTAACTAACATTGAAGTCGAGGGGAAACCAATCCCAAAGCATCAGGAACCCGCTACAGAGAATTTCGGGATCAGAGATGCCATTTAAACAGTTACAGGAACACGAACCCTCGAGGTTCCGGACCGAGAGAATCAGGATAGTGCAGTTGCGTTGGACGAGGTACTGCCTGAAAACCTCAAACGTTTTATGAAAAATAATTCGGAAATCACAGATGACATTGATGACCTTTTTCGTCCCACCACAACTGCGGAAAAAGTCTCAGACATTAATAATGAAAATTTAAACTACGGTGAAATTTCGGTGGACCAGCAAAAAGAACTAGTACGCATGCTAATGGATTTTACGGAGGTCTTCCCGACGGACGACCAAGGCCTTGGCACATGTAATGTGCTAACACATAAGATTGTTTTGAAACCGGAAGCGAATCCAGTCGTGGAACTGCTTCGGCGTTTTGCCGAATGGCAAAAGGTCGAGATCAATCGACAGATTCAGGATATGTTGCGGAAGGACGTGATTAGCCCATGTGAAATTTCTGAACGATGTGCTAATGTGGTACTAGCACGGAAGAGGGATGAATCCCTGCGGTTTTGCGTCTCTTACAAATTAATAAACGAAGATACTATTTTTGATCCCTACCCGTTACCAAGAATTGACGACTGCTTGGACAGTCTGAAAAATTCGTGTTATTTTACCAGCCTTGATTTAGCCAGTGGCTACTGGCAAATCAAGATGGATGATTTTTCCAAAAATCTAACTTGCTTCCGAACGCCGGACGGCGTTTTTCAATCTGAAGCAATGCCCTTTGGGTTACGGACGGCTCCTGCGACTTTCAGTCGTATGATGGATCGCGTCCTGGGTGACCTCAAAGGAAAAATTTTAATCCTGTACCTTGATGATGTCGAAATTTATGCCGATTCGTGGCAAAATCTTTTGGTAAATCTTCAAATCGTTTTGCAACGGCTTCGAAGCCGGACTCAAAATCAAACCAAGCAAATGTTTCTTCGGCAAAAGGAACTAAAATTCTTAGGTCATATGGTGAATTCTCAGGGCATTGCCCCAGATCCGGACAACGTTCAGGCTGTTGTAGCCGTCCGGTACCTGCATGTATCCGGGACGTTAGGGATTCCTGGGTGCTGCATTATCGACGATTCATCAAAATTTTTCGCGCATTGCCGCTCCGCTGCTCGAGTTAACAAGCAAAAAACACACCGTTTCATTGGTCTGGTCCATCGCAGCTTGCTTTTGAAGAAATAAAAAATTCCTTAATAACAAAACCAATTCTAACTCATTTCGACAATGAGAAAGAACACGTCTTAGAAACAGACGCCAGTCTGGATGGACTGGGCCGTTCTAACACAGCGGAAGCTGATGGCTTCAGGTCGTTGCCTACGCAAGTCGTTCGTTAACCGATGCAGAGAAGAACTATCATACGTCCGAGCAAGAGCTCCTCGCTATTTTCTGGTCGGTTACTGACAAATTCCATTTTTACCTCGGAGGTCCGAAACCGTTCACAGTAGTGACGGACCATAACTCCTTAATTCCTTTGTTTAAAACACCGACCCCGAGTGGTCGTCTCGCTCGCTGGATCCTGGCTTTGCGCCCATACAACATAAGGATCCTGTACCGAAAAGGAAGTGCCAATAACGTAGCTGACTTTCTCTCCCGATCACCTTTACCACCATCGTTACCGCAGATTTGCTCCCTAGTCGTACCAGATTCACCGGTCGACATCCCTGCTCTACAGGGAACCGACGAATTCTGTAAAAAGATCTTGGGAATCCTGAACGGTGCCACCGACACCGCCAAATTTCGAACGCGAATTCAGCACTACGTCGTAAAGGAGAAAATTTTGTATAAAATCGTATTTCGTGGCAACGATCCGGTGTATCTCATTGTGGTGCCTAGTTCCCTAAAAGTCACACTCTTAAGGGCATATCACGATGATCTCGGTCATCGCGGGATTACCAGGTGTTTCAAGCCCTGTACCTTAAATATTACTGGCCGAACATGGCACGATGTTGCGGAATACATTTCTTCATGCCATTCCTGCCAGGACAAAGTGGATCAAAAGCGCGACTACGTGAACCGAGGTAACTGCCGCCAATGCGGCACATTTTCTGTACGAGCAAGTTATTTCCAGACATGGGTGCCCAAGGTCGATCCTTACGGATCTCGGGACTCATTTCACCGGAAGTCTCTTGCAACACTTGTTGCGTCTAGCACGCATTACTCATCGTACGACTACGGCGTATTATCCTAAGGCTGATGGCCTTACCGAAAGGATAAATGGTGTTCTCGTTAAAGCGATTGCGCACTACGTGTCTCCGACACACAGAAATTGGGATGACCTTGTGATACCAATAACTTTTGCCTTGAATACAATGGTGAATGACACGGTCAAGGTCTCACCATTTGAATTGTTACACGGGTATAACCCGACGCATCCCATCGATAATGTTATCAATCCTGGCGAAAATCTTGATTTCGAAGAGCCTGATGAAACGCTTCCAAGTCAAATTCAGACGTACCTTAGTAACTTGCGCGAGGTTGCCGGTCTCATGGCGAATCACGCACAAGATAAGACGGCTCCGCGTTTTAATGTTACCCGGCGTGAACACGCATTTGCACCTGGCGATCTAGTACTTTTAAAAGGGCCGCCAAAAGAAATTGTTTCTCCTGAAAATAACCTTACTCCCAAATTTCTAATTCGTTGGCACGGGCCTTGGAGGATTGCCTCACAAGTGTCCGAAGTTAATTACAAAATTGAATCTCTTCGTGGTCGACCGAAGACTCAGGTTGTCCATGTGCAGCGCTTGCGCCACTATAGCGAGGGTTTGGACACACCGTATGTTGAGTCGGTTCTGGCAGAACCACTTAAAAAGGGGAAACGAGACTTGGACAACGTTGATCTCGAAAATTGTCGAGCAACAAATGATCCAATGTCCACACCCCCGCCTGACATTCCGATGACCGGAACTAACGAAATAGACACGGTTCGACGTTCGGACCGCCTGAAACAAAAGAGAGAAAAATAAGCATTTATATTTTGTTGTTTCATGTATCATCGGTTAAAATAAAAAAAAAGAAAATAAAACCTAAAAATAAAAAAAAAGGAAGAAACAAGTAGCTTACTTTCATATAATAGCTTTGGAATTTATTTTATCTTAAGTTAATTTTTTCTCTCTCTTTTGTTGTAGAGCGTTGATCCCAACGGCCGTCAGGCACCAGTTTACAGGTACACCGGCCTGAACCCATCGACTTTGGGCAACCGGTACGTACTTGACCATTTCTGTCACGTGAGTGTTGCTAATGAGTTTCATCCTCTTGCCAATCGTCAAACAGTTTTGACAACTGTAATTTCGGAAGTCCCCAGTGCACGTACGGTTTCGTTCGCCCGATTGGAGGTGTTAAAAAATTATCTTGAACCATTTCTGGATTCCAATGAAATCGAGCGTATAACAACCGTAAACAATACTTTTCTTGACGATCTTCGTCTTGCGGAATTCACAAGTTGCATAAGTGCCCTTTCCAAAATTGACACAGATATACCGCTCAAACCGTTCTTTCCGTCGCTGTACTTGGCTAAGCTAGCCGTAGGAAATTACGGATTAACACGCGGTTTTCCCGCTCCTTTCGCATGCAGATGCGTAACGACACAACTTGATTTGACAACGCCGTCGCTGACCTTTCAGTGTAATACTGATCCTGGCATATGTGACGCACGGACAATTAATTACTCGGAGCTCATTGCCCCGATCGTGAGGTGCAGCAATCGGGCCCAACGTTACGGTCTTTATTTATATAATAAGCTTGTCCCAGATTTCTTCTGTCTGGAATGCTTTTATAAAGCCACCAACCACGAGTTGTTTACCGACGGCTATTTCCAGCATCCCAACGACTTGACCGTTAAAACTTGTCAGGCAGGGCATCGTACACGAGAACCCAACCATTGTGATCATTGTAGTACGACCAGAATTTACCACCGACACCTTGGGTATCCTCCCGGTCAAGTCTCTTATGTGCACGCGCAACGGGATTTCAATAACAGAATAGCTCACGATTTTGCGCATTCGTTTTTTTTGTTGAGGAAAATTCTTACGCAGATCCCACTAATCAGGTCTGTGTAGTGCTTCGCTATGCCAAAACAACGCATCCTGATTCTGCGCCACTGACAAAACGGCTCTGGGCTTGGCTTTTGCGGCAAAACCTCGGCGAAGTTGCCGACACGTACAAAACCTATCGCAGAAATTTTCACAACCATCCGTTAATATATCAGTTTTTGACATTGATCCCCCACAATGACGAAGCCAGAGTCGTAGCTTTCAAAGCATTAATGCCGTTTTTGCCGATACACAGTTCTCCTGTTATTGGCATTTTTCCGACTTCGTCCAGGGAGCACATCTGCCATGTCGCGTACCACGATACGGATATCAGTTTTGACTGTAAATGCTTTACAAACAATGCCCTCCGGGCGATCGGTCAGGACTTCATACTCCTTAACAGGGATCGAGAAGACGCAGTAGTTATTTCATCCAGAACGACAGACATTTTTAACATTCGTCTTTGTGAAACGCGGAAAAATAACGGAAGGTGTAATAAACCAACAGATACCCGCGTCCTGTACCAGAAAGGTCGTCCCGTCTTCCTTTGTACTCAATGTCTCATAGCCGCCTACCGCCACCGAATGTGCGTTTGCGGTACGGAAGTGGTGTTGGTAGAATGCACTCCGCCGATGATGGAGTGTATTCGCGGCCACAAGTATCACGCAGAATGCGCTGTTAGCGACATATGTCCTCATTGCGCGTATTTGTTCCCGATGACGGAAAACGCTTCTAATGCGAGGAAGGACTCTGACAGTCCACCTCCTCTGGAAGCATATTCTGATTCCGACGCGGAATCTACCGTAACTGTGAATTTGGACGAAGAACCACCGAGAAAGGGACCTACGGTTCACAACTTCGCATACGCTCCGGCTAAACCAGGAAATCGGGAAGGTCTTACGAGCGACGACTCAGGACCAGAAAACGAGGCACCGCCGCCTCCAGTTCCTGCAAAACGCATGCGCGCTGGTCTACCCAGCTTTGTGACACTATCGCTGTTTCTTTTACTTTGTACGTTGTCGGGTACTTCCGCATTAAATACGACTTTGTGCGACTGTTCGCGCAGTAAATATGTAGGAATTGCTGACCTTTCAGCCAGAATTAGGTGCGATCAGCTTGATAGCCCAATCCGGGAAACTCACGATGTGAAGTACCACATTCTCGACTATAAGAACATTACCCGACTTTTCACAGGCTCCGCATGTCGTATGATTATGAAAAGTACGATTCAAGAAGGGTTCTTTTTCGGAGGCTATAATAGCCAGAATTTCGAAATTGCACTTCCGGTCACCGCTGACCAGTGCCGTGAGATGGCAAGAACGAAGGTCTGTAATGGAAATGAAATGACTAAAAGCGGACGTTCGTGGGTGTACGACGCAATACCCGTAGTCGACCGCCGGTGGAACCAGTTCCGCCGTGCTGACGTCGTTACCTGCCTTCTGGAAAACGTAACTCTTGAGACAACGTGTGACGACTGTCCGGTACTCTCTACAACAGGCGAAATCTCTTCGTCCATCCGCGCTGAATTCAGTGTCCATCCACACGTAACTTATGTGTGGGATACTGACAAAAACTTGACGAAATGTCGTATCAACACCGTACTCAACAGCGAGGACAGTTGTTCCAGTTAAAATCGGGAGAGATTCACATCCGTGATCACTTGCATCAACTTAGTTTTACGGTAGAAGAGAAAATGGAAAGAACTTGCGATGAAAGTGCGTCCGTCCATTACGTTCGATCGCACCCAACGCTCAGAATAAAATTCTACCACGGTTACTATCGTCCGAACTCTACTGCAGAACTTCGTCCTCCCGTTCGCCCACCTGTTGGAATTCAGAGTCGACTGAATACAAACCTTTCGGCAGAAATAACGACTCTGCTGTCATCGCACTTACAATACGTAGAGGATTTCTTCGCCTTTCAAGAAGTGAAAATCTTAAATCATCTACACCGGCTGCAGTGCCAGGCAGATCGCACTGAGATGGAAACTCTGATTCTGCTCAGTCAGTTTTCACCCGTTGTCGTCGGAGCCAAACTTGGTTTTTCGAAATGTCAAGCCGCAGTCGTTCTCGGAGACTCTGCCACCATCTACCAATGCACTGAAGTAAACGTTACGATTGGAGTAAAATACTCCACGTGCGAACCAAATCCGTACATCGCAGCCGAAAACGATGACCGCGGATACACCATCGCACTCGATGGCAAAACTCTAAAGAGACATTCAGTTTGTCTCCATCGTCATTCCGTGGTCATTATCCATGGAGCACTTTACCGTTACCAGGATGGTACGTGGACGCCGGTAAACCCGACTTTCCATAAGTCGCTATCTCATTGGCATTTTATGACAAAATTCCTAACCGATAACCTGGAAGAAACTCTCGGGGACTCCATGTCCGTTGACCCCTTTCGATTTCTGGACTTGACGGCCGAATTGTCCGGCCTTATGTTGGAGACTGGTATTTCAAATTTGTCGACTATTATAAGTCCAAAATACATACAAAGTACGCTCAAATCTATAAGCTGGCACAGCCTTCTGAACATTTCCCTTACGACGATTACCGTTTTTATTGCTGTGATATTTTGCGTTCGGTATCACCGAACGGTTATCGCGTTTTAAGCTGTCTTATAGATTGTTGCCGCCCCCGTTCGCGCCGGCAGTACGATTTCCAGCCTCGACGGCCGGAAACGGCCGCGGTCATCGCCACCGCTACGTAAACCCAGGACAGGAACCCTTCTCGGACTGTACCCACACGGACGGTGGACATTCCCATGACGCCGCGTTACCGTCCTTCGGACATGGTGCGACAGGATCCTGTCTACGCCAATGCGCGTATGGTCACCGAGGACACGGATGGATCAACGATCGGCGCCCGGACTCCCTCCCCGCATCACACGCTTGGCCCACGGACGGAACCGACGGTGACCTTTGGAAATGCGTTGATGGAACAGCGCCGGAAGTTGGCACCGGTTCGGTACGGAACTCCACCGACCATGAGCAGCGTATAACCGCTTAGCATTAGCCTTATTTTTCCGCTCATGTAAAGTCAGCCAGCAAATTAATTAAAATTTCTCAAAAAAAAAATTTTTATTGCAAAATTTCAAAAATATTGTATTTTATGCTGTTTGTTTTTATATTTTGCTTAGATAATTCAAATCAAGTCAGGTTCTCGCTTGTATTTAGTCCAATTTAACATGGTCAGGATTAATTACTTGAATTTTCAATAAAAAGGATCATTTTATTTTGTAGAAAATTTATCACAAACATTGGTCAGGAAATTTCCTTGGTTACTTGTCAGATTTTGATTCAAATTTTTAAAACAAAAGAAAGGTTCGTGAAGATCGGCCCAGTTCTATCCCGGGAACCCAGTTCTATTGGGTTCGCTACCTGAAGCTTTAGGTCGCCGATTTTTATCAGTCATTACAGCCTTGCAATGATCAGTGAGTGCTCGTAATAGGTAGCCAGCATTATGGCCATGGTTAACTCATGGTATTTGTGTGAATAGACTGAGATCAAAATTTTCTGGGGCGAAATTAGATATTGAAGCTTAAAATAAAATAGTTAACGGATAAGCTGGTGCAGCAGTTTGTTTGCACAGTGTCTACGCGAATGAAGAATCGCTCACATGCTTCAAAATTTCCTTAAATAACGCAGTCTAGAATCGATGTACAAAACCCTGTCTGAAACAGCAATACCATCTGCTGTGAAGTCTCTGCAGAAAACTTGTCCGCAACAGCATGACATTGGCTGTAATGTCTCTGACCAAAGCCTGTCAGCACCAGCATTAAAAATAGCTGTGAAAAACAAAAAAAAAACGAATTCCGTACGGGATCGTCGAACGCGCGACTCGATCGCAGAAGACACAAAAATATCAGTCAGACACGAGTTTAGCATCGTAGACTGTATGCACTAAAGTTGCATTATAAAAAAACGGGGAAAAGAGGCGTGTGTTTAGACAAGCGAACGAACAATGTTTGAAACCAGTGACTTAAGATCTATAAATTTTGTTGTGTCGATTTTGCCTCAGAGAATGGAATGTCTGTTTATTTGCGTGAATACGGTGTTGTGTTGTGGTTTTGGTGTATGGTTAACCGCTGATCAAAGTTCAAGTTCAAGGACGACCGAAAGATATCATTGATCGAACCGCATTTATTATAAAATGAGTCAGGGAATTTAAAATCCAAAATATTTATCAATTGAAAATTTGGTTCAATCCGGTTTTCCCTAAAAGCGTTCTATAAATAAAATTCAGAATATTCCGCTGTACTATCTGTACTTCTTTTAACCGCATCAAGTATAGATATTAGTTGCATCTTACTATCTGCTATTTCGTAGATGTATCTCAAAAATTTCAAAATGCAACATAGCTGCTTTAACGCATTGCTGGTTGACTGGCTTTTCTGCTTTTCTTATGTTAGTTATGGACTGCGGACAGTCCTTTTTCATGGAGAGAAGTGTTACATGTAGACTTTGTTCTGATGCTCGGCTCGCTACTTCTCCCTTGCCCAATGCCTGAATCACTTAGTATGTGCCGATTCTCCTTTAATGCGCTTTCTGATTGTTAAGGGCGATATGCCCGTGCATGCTGTTATCTGATATACCGTTCCACTTGTTGCTCTTATATCCCGCTGTTTTCGTGCATTTCGGAGAGTTACAACAGTGCAGTCCAATTTCCTTCAACAACAATCCCTGACTCGCATTTGCCGTCTCGTTCGTTGCCGTTAATGCATATTTTCGTAAACACTGCATATTAGACTACGAAACCGGCCGGTCTTATACCGCCGTGACCTTTCCGTTTATTTCGCTCTGCCAATTATTCATGTAACATAACCATTTAAAAAATTGTATTAGTGGCTTTCAAATTAAAGTCGACCAGCATTGAGAATGGAATTTGATAGATTAGAAGACAATCAATTTGAAATATGATTTCAAAACCAAAACCTGCCATGTATCGAGAATTAATTATGCTTAAAATTATAAAAATAATTTTAGACAGAAAACGTGGTGTGAGGAGAGAAGCGGCTCATGTACAGCGACAAAGTCTTTAAAGGATGTTCAACACTTTGCGCCGTGGTGCAGGGGTACTGCCTACGCGTGGTGCAGTGGTACTGCCTACGGATCTAACGACGTAGCCGGGGTTCGATTCCCCAATCGGCACATTTTTCGGCTGTTTCTCGGTTTCCCTCCCATGGCGCCCTGCTGAGAGTGGGAAACTGATAGATATCCTAGATATATTCTGAAATTAAATGCATCCTTACCAAAAAGCAAAGAAATTTTTTTAAATTTATACGAAGTTAAAAAATTAAATTTGAAGAAATTTCAAAAAATGCGAGCTATTTCTAAAATAACCATGAATTTGAAAATAATTCGAGCATCAATTAAAAGCTGAGAGAAATAGCGTAATATTCAATTTAAATTTCATAAAATGTTTTATAATTTGGAATCTTAGATAACAGAAAATAAATAAATATCCGGAACTTTTCTTTTATAATTTCGATCATTTCACTCTGGTGTAGCGTAGTTGGATAAACGGGTCCCTATTTCCTTACATTCTATTAGAACCAGGAGACTAGAAACACCAGAAATCCAGACTACGGGCCAGATTCTGCTTTATTCAAGACCGAAATCTCAGAAAACCAGAGAATGACATCATCACATTAGCCGTCGCTGCGCTTAAATAGCCTAAACTGGGCTATCTGTACTACCCGTACGTCTCATACAAGTGCACTCGTACATACGTAAGCGGCACCGCCGCTACACTACCCCTTTCTCCGGGATAGAAAAACAGGAATGCCATTAAACACAGCAAGACAACAACAACCATGGGCGGAAGACCCCTTTCTCCGTAAAATAATAATAAAAGATCTTACTCTAACTTCCACACAACATCGTCATTCTTCAGAAAAAACACCGTCACAAACAAATTCTCACATAGAACAACAACCATTAAATCATCACAACATACATCATCATTATAACACCATCTGCTCTCTTAATAATCATAATTAAACTCATCTGCTTCCTCCTCGGTAACACCCGGGATTTCAGCAGGAACTTCACATCACATCGCCATCATCACCGCCTCACAGGTGAACTCAGGCTTCATTCCCATCCCAAGCAGACAGCGCATGATCCATAGCATGTGGCGAATTATCAGGTCATCATCCGTACGGTAATCCATCCGGTGACGTCATCTTTCCATTCGGAACACGAGCGCTACACGTGACATCTAAAGCTGGCTTCCGTCCAGGTGCACGTTAGGCAAGGCACAGAACAATACGGCTTAACAGGAGGCAGATAAGATCGTATCCGGGTTGGAAAATCCCAGACAGTCAGACAGGCCAACGCACTCACTCAGACATGAGCAGCGATTACTTCCTTGTCAGGAAATTATGAATTTATTAATTCTGAACGCAGAATAATTCATTTTTCAATTAAAACAAATTCTTAATTTCGTTATTTCCTCATTAGGATATTCCAACATTTAAGCCAAATCACGATCAATTAAATTCACGATTAAAATTTAAGGGGCAGAATTATCACATTTAGTTCCTGCTAAAGTAAAACCAACCATTAACAGAATCATCACATTTTAAAACAATCCTCAATGAAGGACTAACAGTCGCAGCAAATTTCAGACTATCAGTAAATTAGATCATTCACTGAACAAAATAAAAAAAATCTTGAAAATTCTCGCAGTTCTTTAAAATATGCCTTAATTTACCATTAGAAAATTTTCCGAGTAGAAAAACACCATCAGTCGGAAAAGAAACATCAACGGTAAATAATCGCGCACAAGGAAACTATATACTGGAGTGAAACGCGAGAATAATTAAATAATATTTCTGTCAAGAAAATTTCAGCGATTTCAGACACACTCCTAATTAAAAGGAATTTATTAACTTTCATGAAAAAATTAATCTCACTGTAACTCCTGAGAATAGGAAAATCAGCACAGACAATTCTCTCCATCCGTTCTTCCTTTCATGCTCTTGCTTCGGCTGGCAATTCACAGGGAACGGAACGTCGTCCACTGCGGATTCTTCTCTTCCACGGCGAGGTTGCGCGGTCCTTGCCAGGCAGATACAGGATCCACGATGGAAAACGTCCATGCCGTCGAACGGTCGGCTACCGTCGTTTCACCCAGGAGCGCCAATTGTAGCGTAGTTGGATAAACGGGTCCCTATTTCCTTACATTCTATTAGAACTAGGAGACTAGAAACACCAGAAATTTAGACTACGTGCCAGATTCTGCTTTATTCAAGACCGAAATCTCAGAAAGCCAGAGAATGACATCATCACATTAGCCGTCGCTGCGCTTAATTAGCCTGAACTGGGCTATCTGTACTACCCGTACGTCTCATACAAGTGCACTCGTACATACGTAAGCGGCACCGCCGCTACACTGGCGACAGACAGTCTTTACCGAAAGATGAAATTAACGAAACCTCCTTTTGCATCATCGCATTTCTAATGCCGTTCGGATTTATCTATTCAAAACATTTAGAAATATTTAGAAATATTTAGAAATATTTAGAAATATTTAGAAATATTTAGAAATATTTAGAAATATTTAGAAATATTTAGAAATATTTAGAAATATTTAGAAATATTTAGAAATATTTAGAAATATTTAGAAATATTTAGAAATATTTAGAAATATTTAGAAATATTTAGAAATATTTAGAAATATTTAGAAATTGTGCACAGAAAAAATTCTTTGGCGACAGGGGGACCCGGATTCGAGGTCCACGAAAACTTCAGTTTGACTCAGCATGTCAAACTGTGCATTTACAGTACATACCGTATAGTGGTGGCGACCTCGGGGACCCGCGTTCGAGGTCCCCTAGTACCTCAGTTCGACTCAGCCTGTGAAACTGTATAGGAATCAACATGAAAGTCGGTGGCGACCCAAAGGTCACGCGACGACCCAAAGGTCATGGGTATTCCCCGTCGCATCGAACCCTCAACATGTCTTGAATTAGAAACGTGGGCGAGAGAAACGAGCCCGCTTACATAAAGTAAACGCACAACAGAGAGAAAAACTCGCATGTTCGTGGTTTACCATACTTCACGATGCGAACGTAAACATTTTTTCATTTTTGGGTGAACAGAAACATTACCGGCGTTTAGGTGTTTAGACGACTGCATGTCGCCAGTCACTAGCAGTGTAGTCCCAGTTTAGTTTCGAACAAAACTTTTATACTGTGTAAAACAACTTTTTGGGATACTTTAATTAGAGATCCGCTTCCGTAAATAATCAACCACGAAGGTATTTAGTAAGTACCTTCTATACTAAATACTGATACTGTTAAATTTACTATGTACATAACTACTAGAGTGGTAAATACTTTTTACATAGTAGTACTTCTGCTGTTTGCAGTATGCGCATCACACGCATAACATACGCGACGTACCTATGTAATAACACTCGTTTCCACGAGTGGGAGATCCCACGAGTAGTATTTTCAGCAAACTGCATCGTTACCATTTCACTTCGATATGAGTGAGAGCAACGAGAAGAAACCCAACGTACTCCATGAAAACCACACCGCTTCCTATATCGCTTTTGTTTTAGCTTTGCTTTTGAATCTTTTACTAATTGTCCTGTTGATTTATTTTGCCACAGAGCTAAAGCACGTCGAAAAGCGTAAGTCTGAACTTTTACGGATTGCTGACAACCGCGGCATTCAGTTGAACCAGACTGAATTAGAAACAAGATAATGTGAACCGTGAACGATACTTATTTGCAGCAGAATCAAATGAGCAGTGTACGCAGAATATACAGAATGGCTCCGCAAAAGGTAGGGTTCTTATAATGTTTTGTTTCTGGCGATGTTTTGATCCTCAGGTGTGAGTTGTTTGCAGGGGGACCGACAGGTTTCAATGGGCAAACCTGTGCGCTTAATGCTCCAGCGACGGACAAGGGGCAACCTACCAGTTTAACATGGGGAAAGTACCAGGTGTCACATTCATACG